CTCCTCTCCTCTCCTCTCCTCTCCTCTCCTCTCCTCTCCTCTCCTCTCCTCTTCTTTTCTTTTTTTCTCTAAGACAAGGTTTCTCCATGTAGCCCTGGCTGTCCTGGAACTTGCTCTGTAGACCAGGCTGGCTTCTATCTGTCTGTCCTGTCTCCTGAGTGCTAGGATTAAAGGTACACACCATCACTGCTCAGCTTCCGGGTTGTTTGTTTGTTTGTTTTAAATGCTTTGTGGTTGCTATTTTTGTTCTTCTTTTTTTTTTTAACATTTAAAAAAGTGGCCGGGCAGTGGTGGTGCATGCCTTTAATCCCAGCACTTGTGCAGGTTTATGTAAAGGTTCTTTACCTTATTGTATAGGGTGTTTTGTTTTGTTTTGTATGTTTTGTTTTGAGTCAGAGTCTCTCTGGATAGCTCTGGCTGTCCTGGAACTCTCTGTATAGACCAGGCTGATCTCAAACTCACAGAGATTCACCTGCCTCCCGAGTGTTGAATTAAAAGCATGTACCACCACACACAGCTTCTACCTTTGTTTTTAATTTGTTTAAAAAATGTATTATTATTATTATTATTATTATTATTATTATTATTATTATTTTGGTTTTTCGAGGCAGGGTTTTTCTTTATAGCCCGGGCTGTCCTGGAACTCACTCTGTAGACCAGGCTGGCCTCGAACTCAGAAATCCACCTGCCTCTACCTCCCAAGTGCTAGGATTAAAGGCGTGTGCCACCATCACCCGGCGTATTTTATTTTATGCATAAAGAGTTTTGCTAGCATGCATATCTATGCACCACCTGAGTGCCTGGTGCCCATGGTCAAAAGAGGGATTTAGATTCTCTAGAACTGGAGTCACAGACACTGTTATGAGCTGCCATGTGTGTTCTGGCACTGGAAGCAGGGTCTTCTGCAAGAACACTCTTTACCACTGAGCCATCTCTCCAAACCTATCTTAGCTTTTTGAAATAGTGTCTTTCACTGAACCTAGAGGTAACCATTTCAGGTAGACTGGGTGGCCAAGGAGACTCCGAGATCTGTCTGTCTCCTTCCCCCAGCAGCATGATTACAGTTACCAGCTACTGGCTTTAATGTGGGTGCTGGGCATCTGAACTCAGCTCCCCATACTTGCACAAGAAACACTTTAACCCACTGATCCATGCCCCCAGAACCTCTCAACTGAATCAAGATTTAGGAAAGCCTAAAGTGTACATTTATCTTGTGTCAATATAGAGATTTGGCTAGCGGGCTTTGAAGGTAAGAGGCACTGTTGTAATCAGTGCCAGCGGGGATTATACAAACACTGGCGAGATATGCCTAGGACAAAAAGACTGATTCTGCAATCCCTATGCCTACCAACTCCTTTCAAAGGGCATCATGTGTTTCAGAAGGAGTAGGCGCACTGAGGGGTGCCTGGAAGCTATTGTACCCAACAAGGAGTCATTCCATGTTAGGATGAGAGGCCTGTTGCTGTGAAATCTAAGGAGCATAAACTCTGTATGCCCCAGTCTCTTGTCCCCATCATGCTGAGGTCCTGTTTAGTTAGTGCTATTTGAAAAGGGTCTTCAATGACTGTACAGAATGAAGATTAACGGCTCAAAAACCCCACAGATAATCTCCATTCAAACACCACCAGCTTTAAGCAGAGTGTAGCCAGGTCAACTCATTGTAGCCACACTTAGTCCACTAACTCAGAAACACTCACTTCTTCCAGCTTCTCTCTCTTCTCCCTGGAGGTGCTCGGGCCTCAGGGGAGAGAAGAGCTAGGAAAACCTCAATTATCTGTAAAACCCAAAAATTTAAAGCATTAGGCTGTTGTGTTTTTTTTTAAATAATCCCATAGACACATAATTGACACACTGTCTAAATCATCCACACTCTATAAATAAATAATGGTCAACACATTCATCACGTTTTACATCCTGATCAATGCAAAAGGAAACCCTGGCTTTTTGTCTGTTTAGTTTTGGATCTTTTGTTGTTTTTGCTTTTGTTTGGTTGTTGTTGCTGCTGTTGTTTTTGGTTTTGGGTTTTCAGGATAGGATTTCTCTGAGTCCAGACTGTCCTAGAACTCACTTTGTAGACCAGGCTGGCCTGAAAGTCACAGAGATCCACCTTCCTCTGCCTCCTGAGTACGGGAGTTAAATGTGTGTGCCACCATCGCCTGGCCAGAAACCCTGAGTCTTTAACTCTAATCTTAGCAATAATTATTCTGCTCTCTGTTTCTTTAGATTTCTCCATTCTAGAGTTTTTATTTTTTTGTTGACATATAAAGAAATAACCTAAACTAGGCTTTTATATGATCAGAATTATACAATATTCTCGGTTTGGCTTTGTAACTGTCTTTCTTTCTTTCTTTCTTTCTTTCTTTCTTTCTTTCTTTCTTTCTTTCTTTCTTTCTTTTTTGGTTTTTCGAGACAGGGTTTCTCTGTGTAGCCCTGACTGTCCTGGAACTCACTCTGTAGACCAGGCTGGTCTCAAACTCAGAAATCCACCTGCCTCTGCCTCCCAAGTGCTGGAATTATACGCATGTGTCACCACTGCCTGGCAACTGTCTTTCACTAAACATATTTCACTTAACATTAGATACCTATTTAAGGGTCTAGTATTTATTTGTTTGTTTTATGCATATAAATGGTCTATCTGCATGTACACTGGCGTGCCAGAAGAAGGTATCATATCTTATTATAGATGGTTGTGAACTGCCATGTGACTGCTGGAAATTGAACTCAGGACCTCTGGAAGAGCAGCCTATGCTCTTAACCGCCATCTCTTCAGCCCCAGACATCCATCTAAGTTATATCTATATAGGTGGATGACTTTGAACTCCTGTCTTCACCTCTGAGGTTCTCAGGTTACAGGCATGTGCTAACCTGGACCAAAAGAGTTACATCACCAACCAGCTTCAGGAATTTTTTTGATGGGTTACTTGTTTTTCTTTTTAAAGTTTAATTTATTTTTTTATAATTTCATAGATCTATATATTGTACTTTAATCATATTCACTGTTACCTTCTCTTGGGCTTCTTTCCCATCATCTGAACCTCTTCTTCTAGTCTCCCTAATACATTCATGTCTTATGTATATGTATACATTCACGTCTTACGTATATGTATACATTCACGGCTTATGCATATGTATACATTCATGTCTTATGTATATGTATGTTTATACAAGTTTGTATGAGACCCATTGAGTTTAACTAGAGCTGCTTTTGTGAGCATTGGAGGAAGATTATTTACTAGGACCTTCACCTAGCAACTTCTAACTGCCATTATCTCCTCTGCGAGAGTGGGCTTTGTGAGCCTCTCCCCATGTATGATGGCGCTGATGAACACAGTCTCTTTTGGTCTTGGGCAGGTGACCAGAGACAATCTAGAACAATGACTTCAATAGTCATCCCATGTTCAAAAGCCAACCTTCCTTCCTGTCCTCTGGCTCTTATGTTCTCTAAGGCTCATCTTCCAGCGTTCTCTGTGCCTTGGAGGGGGCAATATAGGCACTATACAGTGCCTAGTCACTAAACAGTCATTTTTTGTTAGTGCTTTGATCAGTTGAATCTCTGCAATAACCACAAACCACCACAAAAATGAGGCTTCTTGTCCAACACTGAGAGGAGCACCAACCCAAGAGCATAAACATAAATGTGGTTTGATGGGTACAACAAGTCTGTAACACGACAACAGTAACAGCTTCTATGCTAGGGTTTATGACGGCTCCAGTTACAGGACACTGACCAGTTTTATAGTATCAAGCATAAATTCCCTTGTGTGAATTGTGCCTCAAGTTTAATCAGAAAGTGATCCATTGCTCTCATAACAGTCACACCAAAGTACGACAAATTGTACCTGGTGGTTTGGTTGCGCAGTACACAGGATCTCATAAATGAGTAAAACTTAAAACTCTTTTACTGTGTATGAATGTTTGCCTACATTTAAGTGTGTGTATTGGGTATGTGCTTAGACTTTGCAGAGGTCAGAAGACAGTGTTGCACTCCTCAGAACTGGATTTACACGAGTTTGTCACCTGCCCTGTGAGTACTCTGTGAGTACAGAGACCCAGTTTCTCTGCAAAGGCAATAATACTCTTAACCACAGATGCACTTTTTGGTAACTCTCCACAACCCCATCAGCAGGCATAGCACCTTCTGACATGAAAGATAGCCAGCAAGGAGAAACCTTCCATTTCAATTTTGATTGATTATGTTTTGTAGTGATAAGCATCTCTAGTGTGATCAGGTTTTACCATCTAGATCTGGTGGGGTAATCAAATCAAGCCCTGACTGGCCTTGAACACTAGGAGATCCTCTTGCCTGTGCCTCTTGAGTGTTGAAATTAAAGGCATGCACCTTGTCTGGCTTCAGTATGACCTTTTGAAAAATATTTCTGTTTTTATATGTGTGTGTGCCATGTATGCTTGGTGTCCTTGGAGGTCAGAGGGAATTATATCACTTAAAGCTTATTGGCATCCGACCAGGTGCTGGGAACCCAGCTCAGTCCCTATGGAAGAGCAGCAGGTGTTCTTAGCCACTGAACCGAACCCAGCTGTGTTACCTAAACTCAGTAGGTAGTAACATAAGATGGTTACTATCATTTGTTCCCATCAGTGGATACTATACTGTCATCCTCAACTCTTGATGAAAAATCATGTAAATCCAGGTATCAATTTCAATTATTAAAACATAGTTCACCAGGGCTAAATTTGATTACCCACCTGGTCAGATGCCTATAAGCTTCAAGTGATATAATTCCCTCTGACCTCCATGGACACCAAACATACATGACATACACACATATAAAAACAGAAATATTTTTCAAAAGGTAATATTGAAGCCAGACAAGGTGCATGTCTTTAATTCCAACACTCAAGAGGGATAGGCAAGAAGATCTCCAAGTGTTAAAGGCCAGTCAGGGCTACGAAGTAAGATCCTGTTTCAAAGAAAAATTACACAAATTATGTACAATAGGTAGTCTAGGAATCAACAGAAAAGTTATGGAGGAATATGGAACTAGCATGTTTAGGATTTTTGGTTTTCCTTTTTGAGACATTCTCACTGTGTAGTTCTAGCTGACCTAGAACTTTTGGTATAGACCAGCTGGCCTTGACCTCACAGAGATCCACCTGCCTCTGCCTGCTGAGTGCTGGGATCAAAGGTGTGTGCACCGCCATGGCTGCCTCTTACATAGATAGACCTTGATGGCTTTTTGTCAACCCTAAGTCCCTTTAGTTTTCTACACACTGAAAATGCAAACTTGTTTGTGCTGTTTTTTTTTTCTAGAAATATGACAAATCTGAAGCTATCCCCATGGAGGTAGCTGTGTCTGGAAGACAGTAAGAGATGTGTGTCCTCACAGAAGAGTCCAACATGTCCAACGGCATTGATGTGGACAAAGGCTTTGCCATTGCCTTTGTTGTTCTTGTGTTTGTGTTCCTAATTGTGATGGCTTTTCGGTGTGTAAAGTTGGTGAAGAATCCCTATGAGGTCAGCTCTACAACCGCAGATCCGCCTCTGAGCTGAAGTACCATCACACCTGGTGGTCGCCTCTCACGAGAGACTTGCAGTCTTTTTATACCAGGGCGTCACTTTTAGCAGGCTCTTACACAGCCAATGCTTGCCTCCAACCCCTGATCCTTGTTTCTTCTTCACCTCCTAAACACCAGGACTACAAAGAATGCTCCATTGCAACATTCAAACTCTTTTATATTGATGTGTATGATCCAGACTTTATATTCCCTTACCTCTGCACTTCTCAACCTTGCCATCTCCTGTTCTATAACAAGCATGTAAGAGTCAAGTATCTCGCCAGAGAGAAAACTCGGGCTATATTTCATTGTTCTTTTTCAGGGAATCCATTACTAAAGTTGAACTTATTGACAAGACTAAGACTACGAGTTTCAATTGTCCCATATCTAATGTCCCTGGAGTAAGATGCTGGATCTTAACTTAATGATGTAATGTAACATCATACCATGCTTGGTGAGGCCCATCTGAAACTAGAAGCTGACTAGGATGTGGCCAAATTTATTTGTTCGTTAAATGCCAAGCATCTGACAAGACCTATTCAGGGTGTCAAATCTGATTTCTTTGGGTAGAGCTCTATGTACAGGTAGTCTAATATGCCTGAAGTAAGTACCCCGGTCTCTGTCAGCCAAAGTTCCCTTAGATATAAAGCAATATGAGTGGGCCGAACAGAGCTCTGGAAGGTAGGTATTCATACCCTAATTCCTGAATGCTAGAGACATGCTCTGATTTGGGAAAGGTCTTTAAAGGAAATCAAGACTCTTAAACCCACCTATAATCCCAGCATGTGGGAGTCAGAGGTAGGGACTGTTGTGTGTTTTTAGCATGGGCCATACAGTGATTTCAAAGGAGATGGGTGGTCAGGGGGAAACCACATCAAGATGAAGATGATGGCAGAGATTTGAGTTGTGCAGACACAAGGCAAAAACTGCGAGAATCTAAAAGAGAAGAGGAAGGATTGTCTCCTTGGGGCTATTGGTTGCGTGGCCTCACCAACAACTTTGGTGTGGACTTCTTTACTTGATGTTAGTCAAATGGCCAAGAAGCTATTTGGTTGTCAATTTCTACTCTTCAAAACATGAGAGAATACACTTCTATCTCTTTACGCCACGAAGTGATTGATGACAATCACTGGAAGCTGATAACTCTGACTATCATCAGTTTTCCAGAGACCTCTGTGTGTGTGTGTGTGTGTGTGTGTGTGTGTGTGTGTGTGTGTGTGTGACCTCTGTGTGTGTGTGTGTGTGTGTGTGTGTGTGTGTGTTTTGAGGCAGAGTTTCTGGCTGTTCTGGGCCATATAGCTCTGCCTTACTTTGCCAACCAAGCTAGCTTTGAACTCACCGAGATCTGCCTGCCTCAGCCTCCAGAGTATGGGGATTGAAGTTGTGCACCACCACACCTGGCTTGAGAGTGCTTTTGACAAAAAAGAAATTATAAGCCTCTGCTGTTCAAAGTGTGAAGTTAAAGAAGCTTAAGAGTGGGTTATCAGCCGATGGCAAGAAAGTCCACAAGGGAGTTTACTGGAAAGACAGGGGGCATCTGGTCAGCTGAACCTCAAGAAGAGTTATTCTAATAAAAATTGGCTCTATTGTAGCATTAATGGAGAATAAAAATGGTTGTGTCCAGCCACACCCACCAACTACTCTAGACAAAGCAAGCTACCCTGTGAGTGTGGATTGAGAGCCATCATCTTTGGATGTAAGTAGATTTATACCATCTGGAATCAGCAAGCAGTCAGCTCCAAGGAAAGGTGAGTTTATGGAGTCCTGCTGGGCAGAGCTGTACACTGCAGTAGTCAACCCTCCACATCCCGGGATTCAATCAACTGTGCATCAAAAAGAGTCAGAAAAATAAAAATCACATCGTTTCTAATATGGTCACACAAACCTATAACCTCAGTACCCAGGAGCCAGAGGCAGGAAGATCTGAAGTTCAAGCCAACATGGACTACCAGAGCCCCACTTTTAAAAAGAGAAAGCATTGTATCTATATTAAGCAAGTACAGATTGTCTTGATTTTTTTCTAAGCAATGCAGTACAGACTATATACATAGGCTCTATATTGTACTGGGTATTAACAAGTAATATAGAGACGATCTGGAGTATACAAGAAGATTGGGCTACAGAGATGACTCAGTGGTTTATAGTTCTTCCTGCTCTTCCTGAAGATCCAAATTAGGTGCCAAGCACCCATGATGGTATGCTCACAACTTCCTGTCACTTCAACTTCAGGGAATCAGATGTCCTCTTCTGGCCTCCCTGGCCACATGCACACATGCAAACGCAGGTCCACAGATGGACACATGAACACATGCCATATACTCACACACACACATACTCCCTCACATACAGACATGGTATACATTCACACACACACGAACACAAACACAAAAGTATATACAGAAAATAATTTTTTTTTTTGTTTTGTTTTTGGAGACAGGGTTTCTCTGTGTAGCCCTGGCTGTCCTGGAACTCACTCTGTAGACCAGGCTGGCCTCGAACTCAGAAATCTACCTGCCTCTGCCTCCCAAGTGCTGGGCTTAAAGGCGTGCGCCACCACTGCCCGGCAGAAAATTTTCAATCGTAAAGAAATGTATATAAAATGAGGTTGGGTCATATAGGTCATTGATAGAGTGCTTCCATAGCACACACAAAGCCCCAGTAAGATCCTGAATAAACAGGGGCTGGAGAGATGGCTCAGTGGTTAAGAGCACTGACTGCTCTTCCAGAGGTCCTGAGTTCAAATCCCAGCAACCACATGGTGGCTCACAACCATCTGTAATGGGATCTGATGCCCTCTTCTGGTATGTCTGAAGACAGCTACAGCGTACTAGTCATATATATAAAATAAATAAAATCTTTAAAAAAAAAAAAAAGATCCTGAGCTGGTCTATATAATTACAGACATTTGGGATAAAGAGCCAGTATTGGAGCATACACCTATGATCCCAGCATTGAATAGGCAGAGAGAGGAAGACTCCTTGGGAATCTAGCCAAACAGATGAGCTCTAGGCACACTGAGAGATCTTGTCTGAAGAAATAAGGTAGAGACAGATGTAACTTTATTTTTTTTCAAAACCTATTTTAAATGATGGTTCTTAAACATTTTAACCTCCCTTCTAGCCCCACTACCCACTAGGTAAGGGAAAAGAAAGGATATGGAGGGAGGGGCGGGAAGTGGGCCTGTTTAGAAAGGGTTCTTTGGAGCAAATCCCGTCTGCATTGTCAGGAAATCAGCAGTTGAGTTCACAGGTTAGCAGTGGCAGCTCCATCCACTCGCAAACACGTCACAGACACACCAGCAGTCCAGTTCAATAGTGTTGGGATGCAGCAGCAGGGGCAATGACCTTGAAGATACAACCAGGCCTCAGCTGGATCAGCATGAGTCAGCCGGAAGGTCCAGGGCCAACAGGAACACCAGGAAAAGTTCTTTACTGTGCCTTTCTCAGTGAAATGAAGCAAAGATCAGCAAAGATGTGAGACCAAGTGTTTAGCTCTGCAAGCAAGCCTAGCTCAACCTGTGTCACTGTCCAGTCCTATTTATACTCTCTCCAAACATCACATGTCTGCCACGTATCTTGCCTCAGCATATGAGTCTGTCTCAGCTGACATCATTCAGCCACTTCTCCAGGCCAGAGTCTGCAGAAGCAGCAAGAAGCCACAGCACACCACCAGAAGGTTTTGTTTTGTTTGTTTGTTTGTTTGTTTGTTTTGCTGTGATTCACTCTATGGATTCCTGACAAATGGAGCTCAACTACGAAATGTAAGACAGACCAATACATGTGTGTCCTTAGCAAAGAATCGTTCATCACCTTTCCTTTCATGTGCTTGCTTTAGCAGAACATCCTTTCACCTGTGACCACTTCAGAGAAACGTTCCTTCACGTGTCTGCTTTAGTAAAACATCCTCTCACCTGTGTACACTTCACGTGTTTGTCCCAGCAAAACACCATCCAACACAACTGATTTTCCAAAGAACCCTTAAGTTTCCACTTGAGGCAGATGATTTCCACACTCATACAAAAAAAAGGGCATACTGGCACACACGCAGACACATAGACATATACACAGACACGTTAAAAAAAATAAAGCATATAGGAAGTTGTATACAGATATATGCAAACATCATTCGATTTTTTTTTTTTTTTTTTTTTGGTTTGGTTTTTCGAGACACGGTTTCTCTGTGTAGCCCTGGCTGTCCTGGAACTCACTCTGTAGACCAGGCTGGCCTCGAACTCAGAAATCCACCTGCCTCTGCCTCCCAAGTGCTGGGCTTAAAGGCATGCACCACCACTGCCAGGCTCGATTTTCTATAAGACCTGAGCACACGTGGATTTGGTTGTACGTGAGGTTCCTGGAACACAGTCTACTTACACACTGAGAGTAGCTCCTGTCCTCTTGTCAAGACTTCACAATGACCCTGCTTACTGAACTTGGCCTATCAGGCTTGGATGAAGAGTTCTTATTCTCTGTGCCCTTTAAAGGTTTTATATTTATTAATTCACTTCATGTGTGTGTGTGTGTGTGCACATCTTCACACGTCTGTGGCATCTGTAAAAGTCAAAGGACAGCTTGCAGGAGTTGAAGCTTCTGTCTTTCAATCATGCACGTCTCAGGAACAATCTCTCAAGTGTCAGGCTTGGTACTGAGTGCTATTACCCATGGAGCCGTCTCGCTGACCCATGTTCCACTCTCTGGGGTTTTTAGTTCCCTAAGCTTCAGTCAACCATGATCCAAAACTATTAAATGGAAAATCTCAGAAGTAAAGAATCCATACACTTTCCCTTGCATGCCATTTGAGTAGTTCGATGGCATCCGATTCCTCCCTACTGGGTTGGGGCAGTATGAAGCATCCTTCCCCAGCATGTCCAGTGTGAACTGGCACACGTGTGCAGGAGCTGCCTCATTATGCTCCATTCCCACATTCCTTACTTTATGCAATACGGGCCTCAAAGCCCAAGGCTGAGCATGCTGGCAACTTGAATGTGCTGAACAAAACCTCAAAGTGCTTTCCTGTTCTCTCCCTTCTTTCAGCAGAGTTTGAGATGTTATTATACTATTTTAATATAGACTCAAGCAGAAGGGTTAGAAGAAAGAGAGACACTCGGGAGAAAGTAAGACATAAAGAGCACTTGTCTGTGTGCTTCTCAAAGATGAGTTGTGATTTTTTTTTTTCTTTCAGGGTGGGGATGGGGTAGTTGGGTCTTGCCTGGCTTTCTGCTCAGACTCAGTTATCCTCCTGTCTCAGCTCTCCAAGTGCTGGGACGACAGGCATGTGCCACCACACTGAAAGATTCTAAAGGATTTGACTGCGGTGGTGTGGACTGTGCTGGGAGCCAAAGGCCTTTTTCCTTCAGGATA